ACATACATACATACATACATACATACATACATACATACATACATACATACATACATACATACATACATACATACATACATACATACATACATACATGCATACATACATACATACATACATACATACATACATAGGGGACTTCTTCCCTCCTTTGTTGTCGTACAGGTGGACACCGCGGATGAGGCCCATCTGACCATCACCTGGGGCAACCGAACTCGGAACAACATGTTCCGCTTCAACGGCCCGGGCGGGGCCCTGGCGTTCACGGAGCCGGGGGGCAGCATCACCCTGGATGCGGCCGAGCACTGGCTGCTGGGGGCCGCACCGGCGGTGCCGGGGGCCTTCTACCTGCAACCCGTAGTGCTGCATGAGATTGGTGGGTAGGGGGCTGGCAGGGGGGGTAGGGGGCTGGCAGGGGGGGTAGGGGGCTGGCAGGGGGGGTAGGGGGCTGGCAGGGGGGGTAGGGGGCTGGCAGGGGGGGTAGGGGGCTGGCAGGGGGGGTAGGGGGCTGGCAGGGGGGGTAGGGGGCTGGCAGGGGGGGTAGGGGGCTGGCAGGGGGGGGAGGGGGCTGGCAGGGGGGGGAGGGGGCTGGCAGGGAGGGGAGGGGCGCCGTGGATTCTGTTCAGGACCTCATCCTAGAGTCAGTCTTGAACTGGAGCCTGAGATGCGGGTAGGAAATGGCTAGTGGTTAGTGGTTAGTGATTCGTTACTTACTGCCCCCCACAACCCGGCTAACCGCCTCGCGCCCCTCTCTCCCCCCCGGCCCTCCTGTCAGGTCACGCCCTGGGGTTGACTCACAGCAGCAGCCCGGATGACGTCATGAGCCCCTTCTACGTGGCGGACCGGCTCCAGCTGACCGAGGGGGACCGAACCCGGGCCGCCAACATCTACCCGCTGCTGGACGAGGAGGGGGCGCTGGGGGACATGTTCAGGTGGCCCGAGGGGGGTGCAGGGGGAGAGGTAGAGAGGGAAGAGGGTCGAGAGGGGAGCCAAGCCAAAAGACACACGCTCACGCGTCCCTGGAGCGCCAGCGCATGCACATACACTTCCAGTGTCGTACATGGCCAGGAGGGGGAGGGGGGAGGGGGGAGGGGTCACCCACGGGGAGCTCCGGATAGGGCCCATGGGTCACAAAAAGGGGGTTGAGAGGTGGGCCCTACGTAGGAGGCCGGGTGGGTCGGGTGTGTGTCACCGATTGCCCCCTTGTGGGGTGGGGGAGAGAAGCGCAGGGGCAGGAAATGGTTTGCGGTCACCTGCGGTCACCTGCCACATGGTTTCGGAGCATGCCTAGTATTTCAAATCGAAGTATCTCTTCCGTTTGGAAAGTCAAAGAGGCCAACAAAGCTGACCCTGATGCCACTTGCGGCCATCAGCTTGGGGCGCCTTTCAGTGCACACGGCGCGGGCCCCCCTTCCTGCTGGTCTACCTGCTGAACTACCTCCCCCCCCCCTGGCCCCCCCCGGTGGGCCCCCAGGACTCTGGATCTGGATGGGGACGGTCTCCTGAGCCGGGCGGAGTTCCTGAATGCCATGTGCGGCAGAGGAGATATGCCACTGGAGGTATGGGGGGAGGGCATGTGGGGGGGTGGGGTGGGGATGGGGCCGAGGTTTGTGGAGGAGAGGTGCGAGGGTGACAGAGGGTACCGCCACTGTGTCCCTCCCCTTCTTCCGGAGCGGTACTCCTCTCTGCCGTCTCCTGCAGTAGCGGTAACGCCGCTACTGCCGCTACTGCCGCTACATCTACTGCTATCACTGGCCCCAACCCTGATGCTACTCCCGCTACTGCCTGTGTGTCTGCAGCGCTCCGAGGCGGAGGCTCTGTTTGAGCAGGCAGATGTGGACGGGACAGGGGCATTGCCGCTACAGCAGTTTAAGATGCTCATTGCCCGGCTGTTCTTCGAGTAGTACGGCAGACTTTCCGTACCGCCAGTCGCTGGGATGCTGTAGTAGGAGCTGGCGGGTGCGGGCATCATGACACGGATCTGCCCTGATGGGCCTTTTCATTCGTGTACACACGTGTTACAAATGTACGGTAATGTATCTAGACCTCGGTGGGTTGCTGGTCATGATTGTGATGTGTCTTGGTGATGACGTGGGGTGGAGTTCGTAAGGCCCAGAAGGGTGGCCGATCGCGAGCGGTTGGATGCTCCTGGACACTGCTTGGAACAACAAGAAGAATACACATGCATATTTGCATTCTTACGACGTAACTGTACGGCGAACATAGATGTCGCTGCTGCTGCTCCTGGAATGATGGCTTCGTGCTTTTGGGGCCATCCTATCTATCTACATACATACATACATACATACATACATACATACATACATGCATGCACTGTTAACAAAGATGAACACATCCACCACTACCCCACATCGACCTCGCTCTCGAATGCATGTTTTCGTAGCTGTGATAATGCTCCGCAGGACACATACGTACCGACATACGTACAGACATATATACATACCATATATATACCTATATACGCATGCATGCATGCTAAACAACATCAGGTAGGGCGGCCTGGTGTGGGTCTCACGGTGGGTTATCCCCCGCCCTCCTGGGGGGGGGGCTCTGCTTGGGGGGTGAGGTCGACATCTCAATCCTCGCTTGCTGAGAGAGATGTGCGCCCCACCGCACCGCACAGCAGCGGTCACGCATGCCGCCACACGCAGCGGCACCCGAGCAAAGCACCTCGGCGGGGCGCTGACCTGTCTGCTGCCGGTCCGCGACGCACGTTTTTCGCCTCTTCCTCCGCGCCCGAGGGCCTTTTCGAGGCATGCATCATTGCCTGGTGGCTGCGGTTTTATTACAATTTCCAAATTGCCTTTCATTGTTTTGAAACAGGTTCGTGTTGTGCTGCACTAATTGCTGTCGGTGATAACATAGTTTATACTTTTACGCACCTTTCTTACTTGAGCCCCTTTTGGCTGTGGTTCTGGAATAAGAGCTGTGATCGAATCTTTTGTGTGACGAACTATCCGTGGCGCGGACATGTGTTCCTGATGATGGGGGCTGGGGGGCCTGGGGGCCCAAGCGGACATGATGTTCCTGATGGGGGGGCTAGCGCGAGCCTTCGAGGCCTCCCTGATCCGTGTTGCGCAGCTAATGTTCTAAAAGGCAGGCGGGAGGCGTGACGTTGAATAGCAGGCAGGGACGGACGCGAATGACTAAGTACGTACTAAGGCATCCGACGCGCTTGGGTGTTCACAATACCGTTTGGTGGGTGCTGGTGGCCGCAGCGTGGTAAGCGGCCTGCAGGCTGCGGCGCGGCAGCTGGTGAGCCTGGTGTTGATCGGCTGTCAGGGCATTCTCACAGTATTGAGTTGGACGTGAGCGCGTTACAGGTGCATGGCACGGAGGTTGATGTTTAGGAGTATTATGCGGAAGGGCTGCAATTCGTTGGTAAGCTTGTGGCGTGCAGAAGCCCGGCGATGTACACCGCCCAGGGATGCGACCGTATTCGTTTTGGCCGTCTGGCGTAATAATGGTACCTCAAATTAATACGCCAGGCGTATGGCGTATCAATACGCCGGGGTTCACGCCATGCCGTATTACAATACTCGTGGCGTATTCCTTTTGCGCTATTCCGTCATGGAATTCATGTTTTTCGCTTTTACAATGAAAGGCGTATTGCTTTAGTGTTTGGAAAACGATCTCTCACAAGATAAAATATGAATTTGGGCAACAGCCAGACCTGGACAGCCATCGAGCCATGTGCGCACACATTCGCGTCTGCATTCTAGCATTCCTAACAAACCGTGATTATCACAAATACTACAGCCCAAATAGAGATAGCTTGGGTGTCAGGCCAACACCACAGACGACAGACCACACCCCCCTAAAGCCTCCTCACTCCCCCACGGCGAACGACATCGCCTTCTGGCCAGGGTTGAGCTCCAGCGGCTGCTTGGTCCAGTCTAAGTATGAACTAATTACACCAATGACTCGGGAATGTCAATAGCTCGATATTTCTCAAAATCGGCGAGTTTTCAGACTGTACGACAACCCAACAACAAACAATACGCCGACAATACGCCAACAATACGCCAACGCATAAACAGCCCAACTGGCTGGCGTATTCGGCGTATTAATACGGGCGTATTAGCTGGCGTATTAATATGGAATACGGTCGCATCCCTGACACCGCCTGAGGGTCTTGTCATTCCAGAAGCGTCATCGCATGACGTGTGGGACGTATGACGTTTTGGACAGAGCGCCATGATTTCGCAAAGAATGCGACGGGAGAGAATCATGTTCACTTGGTCGCCTGTACCATTTACCATGTAACCAACCTACCATCGTTCGTGAAGTTTCTCGTCATCATAAAGTGCTCTGTCAGGTAAGCCGTTAGCTCTCAACGGTTAGAGTTCACACGCTTTACCTTTTTTGCAATTTGCTTAGGATTTTATTTATTGAGGAAAAGGTGATCGCACAAGCCATCAGGAAGCACGCAACAACGTAATGCGTGAGGAAGCTTTAGTAGTAGCGCTAAGCCTTTGTAGTAAAGATAATTCAATACAAGGAAAGATGTTACGTTTTACACAAATAGCATTTATTGCTAAATGAGAAAGGTAACTAACCGCTCGTTGAAAGGCATGTAACCGCCTGTTGGGAATAGTACGGTGTGAGTTTGTATGACTTTGTAGGCCCGATGTGGACGGACACTACTATCCATCATATGGTATACTGCAGCGTTCAATTTCTTGATCTGATAGGGACGCAAGCGGTGCCACAACCTGTGAATCACCTGCGGACGCCTCGTCGGAGCGGTTGGTGCGCGTGTGCCATACGCGGGCAATGGAATTGACGTCACACACCTATAAGAGCAGCTGATCCGACATCTACAGAACTCAGGAGTACATGTGCATTGCTTAATTCTTGGAGCGTCGACATTTTGGCCTTAATCATTTCTCGTTCGGAACACGTCCATGGCTTCGGAGTTGTTGTTTGCGCTGGACTCGCACAGCTATATTGACGAAGCGAGGCATGGATTTCTGGATAGTGGTTCAAAGGTGCGTCCACGTTCGTCGTTCTCCTGACGACGTCGGCGGCTCTGTGCGCAGCATCCTAACGGGACCCGTTGATGCCTCGCCAACTGTTGCGTAGCTGGTCGCGCTGGGGTCAAGCGTTACTGTCAAATTGGTACAACAATGCAATCCCGATGTTTGGCGAGACTCCGAAGAGTCAAAGCTGCAGTCGATGGTGAGAGCGTTCGGACCCTCGTGACAAACGAGGACGATTTATCGATTTGAGCATGTGGATACCTCATATTCAGTGATAGATGAATGTAAAATGTCCGATCTGCTCCAGTGCTAGCCTGGAAACGCATAGCTTCAGAAGGCCGACGGCAGCCAGAAGCTGCATCCTGGATGGCTGTAGTAACTGCTCTAAGCCGCTGTCGCTTTGCAAATCCTTCCCTCCATACCCTCTTCTCGCCGCTCCTCCGTTAACTCTTTCGCAGGTTCGCGAGCTCCTGTCCAAGCTGCAGCAGCGCACAGAGCCTGGAGAAGTCGCTGGGCTGCTGCCAGCCTCCAGCGCCTCTCGCTGCACGGCACTTAAGGAGCTCTGTCTCACGCTGCGGTCCCAAGGCCTGGACGCACGTATGATGCTGCCCATTCCCGTGGGTGCGAGCGGCTGCGGTCGACAGAGCACGGGCGGTGGCGGGCAGTGCGTGGCCGCTGCAGGCAAGCGCTGTTTTCTTTGCAGCCGCCAGCCGTACGCAATCGTACGGCGCCCTTCATCCTCGCGCTGGTCGTCGTCGTCTCCTTTTTCATCCTCGTCCGGAGGCAGTCGCCCACCGCGGCAGTGGGAACTGTGCGTTGACGACGGTGCCTGCAACCGCCAACAGCATCAGGAGTTGGTTGTTGGAGAGACGGTTTCGGAGCCTGCAGTGGATGACGGTGAGGTGCTGCTGGTGGAGCCGGGTCTCCGGGAGATGTTCCGGATCGCGCCCTCCACTCCCGAGTACGCCGCCATCGTGGAGCAGCTCCCGCAGGTGGGTGGGTGAGTGGGTGGGTGAGTTGGTCGGTGAGTGGGTGGGTGAGTGGGTGGGTGGGTGAGTGGGTGAGCCGCGGGGCATGGGCCTGTAATCGGCATGGCTGTGTCTTGATAGGGGCCGGTCGATACTTTGCTGGCGGGTCTCCCTCGCTGTCTCGCCCGCTGTAGTCTCTAGTTGGCTACACATGCCCTCGAGCCGCCCCCACGAAACAAAAAATATTGAGGGGCTGCTGCTGCTGCTAATGTTGTTGCAACCCGGCAAAGCAGCCTGTTACGGGTGTATGGTCATGTCCCTTCCTACCTACCTATCTACCTAGCTAGCTAGCTATCAACGGATTGTTTCGGTCTGGGGACCTTACTCGCTTGTAAGCTCTGTTTCGTCGGTACGTACATATGTACACATGCAATACAACATGTAACTATTTCGAACAGGCTTGGGCGGCTGGCCCTGGGGGCCCCCCAGGGCTTGTTTGGGCCCGTAACACCTTCGGAGAGTAGCGCAGCTCAAGGTGTAACACATACATACATACATGCATACATACATCTGATCAGGCCCCCTTACCTCTGTTATTTCCACGGCGGCCCGGGGAGCAGGTGTGGGTCGGACCCCGCGAGCAGCTTTTGGACCTGGCTGAACGCATGTGTGGAGCCATGGCCGTCAATTTTAGGTTGGTGGGCGGGTATCGGATTATGTACGTATGTATGTCCGGGGCAATCAGTTCAAGGGTGCCTATCTGTGAGGCCGCTTGGGGCGGTGCTGAGCTGCGGTCGAAAACCCTAAAACCCTGAAGAGACACACACGTGTAGGTGCTGCCGAGCATTCTCCCCACGGGGGCCGCCTATTGGGGCTCCCAACAGCTGCCAGTGAAAGATGCCAGGCCGCTGCGTGGACAAGGAAAACACCACTTCCCTCACCCCTCCCCCTCCCCTCCATTCCTTACACCCCCCTTCACTCCTCTCAGGAGCCAGGGTTTGGACGTTCCCCCCTGGCGGCGACGTACGGCAGTGATGTCCCGCTGGCAGCTGTCTCACCAGACCGAGGTAAAGCTGGGGGTACAGCAGCAGCAGCAGCAGGTGGAAGACGTGTGTGGCAGATGTGGGCATCAGCGGCCGGTGGACAGTCAACATCAGCGCATGAGCCAAGTACCTCAGCCCCGGGGAGGGGAGCGAACGCAGCCGGCGATGAACCCCTGGCTCGACCTGCACACGCACCTCACCACCTCGCCCAGCAAGTGCGGCCCAGCAAGGGCGGATACCCCGTCCACGCCGACGACGATGACGCAGTTGCTGCAGTTGCAGCTGCAACGTCACGAGCGGGCTCAGCGGGAGGCGGCTGCGGCTGCGGCGCCGGCAGCTGTCTCGTGCTCGTCGTCGTCCTCGTCCTCATCGTTGACGTCGCTGTCCTCGTGGGTGCGGCCACCAGCAGCAGGAGCGGGTCGGCAGCCCTGGGAGCTTCAGGACGGAGAGGTGCTCCGAAACCCGTGGAGCTGCCGACCCGAGCTTGCAGTTAGTCCGACGGGCAACCGAGGCCCTAACCGCCCGGTGGTTGTGTACGGCTTTGACTTGCGGGGCCCAGCACGTGCTGTGTAGACTTATCATCTTGTCAGCCTCTCAAGGTGAATATCATTTATCGTTTTTCCTCCCTTGAAACGCGGTGGCAACAGCCAGAAGCAGAAGATACGAGGGCACAGCATGCAGTGTGAAGTCAGTTCTCTTACATAATTGCACATAGCTTTTTACGCCATAGGCTGCACCGAGGGTAAATATGAAAGCATGCTACAGCAGTCATCTTTAAGCTTACTGGCCTTCTTCTTCCAGAACAAAAGGTTTTATGGAGACTGCGCCCGGCGTTGTTCAGGTGAATGAGGGAGCAGGCACACTTATTTGTGTGTACAGCTTTGCGATGCCGAGCTCTTCGCCGGCAGGGCGTATGTGTGTGTGTGTGTGTGTGTGTATGCGGTTGCAGGATGGCGCGAGGCTGTCGGAGCGCTCCCGCCCCCCCCCTCGCTCGCTCGTCGAGAGCCCGTGTTGAGGAGGAGTCATTTTGCATCCCTGGACGGCAAAAATCTCGACGGGCGCGTCCCCTAGGCACTTGTACTGAATATTCTTTTTTGTTGTCTTCAAATGCTTTTTGTAGCCCTGCATGGCTTAGCTGCCTTAGCTGCATTCTGCGGCCATGGCGAGCAGAGCACGCATGTCACAACGGAAAGGCCTCAGAGAGCGACTTGCTCGTTGGATTCGTGAGAGTTTATTGTTTGGCCACATTTGTGCCGTACAGTACAGCAGAGGCGAGTCAAGTGTGCAGTACAGAAAGAGACTTTACCAAACATACGTACTCTGCAGTCGATGCAGGTATCTTTTTATCAGTCGAGCGGCTGGCGACTTGTTGCAAGTCTCTAGTTGAATGTTATTGACCTTAACAGGCTGCGAGAGTACTGGATCCAGAGCTTTAACGAGCGAGCTGTGGAGCAGCGCAATCCCCCTAGTCCTGCGCTCCGTGCAAGAGGACACCCATTCATTGACACCCAACCTTATGGTTGTTGTTTTGCTTCTTACTGAAATGGTTTCATCGCTTTTGACATCGATAATTATTTTCTCGCCTTGTAACGTCGTTTACATGTGACCGGCAACCCCCCTGCTAACTGCGACCACATCAGACGACTCCACGATCCAAGCACTCAGCTCCACACACCTTAAAAACCGCCGCAGTAACAGATGTACGACAGATCTGCCACCGCCATCGTCAGAGGTCTCGATCCCGAGCGCTCTCCCCGCGGGCAGGCACCCCTCCGGGAACTCCCCCTCCGGACCCGCGGCTAGGTAAGGGCCCTGCACCCCCATAAGCCCCACCAGGAACATGGGCCATTACTGCCGTACCAGCCGTACCAGCGGACCTCCCCAGTGCTCTCCCTCGCGCCGAGTCCAGCAGCGACGCCAGCAGCGAGGCCCCCAGCATGACGGCGCCCCCCAGCCAGGCTAGGGGCCCCATGACCCCGTCCCGCCCCCTGAGCAGCACCTGGGCTATCAGGGCTGACCAGAAGGGGGCGCTGCTGTACAGCATCTGCAGCGGGGACCGGACCGGACAGGGGCGGGAGGCGGGGTCAGGGATGGGAGGGGAGGGGAGGGAAGGAATTTATCTTAGCTTCTAGAATTTTAAGAGAGTTCATATATATATCGCTCATTTTCTCCTCACTTTTTGAAGATTCCTTCTTATAAATTCTTCAGGTAATATTGATTTCGAAAATCCCAAGAAGCTGAACCATTTGCCGTATGATGGTCAAGGAGGTGCCGACGGAAGGCGACCAACGAAGCAGAGCATCGGCAGTTGGGGACCAGAGACCATACACAGCCAAGCAGAGCAGTTACGGTAGTTAGCAGTTGCGGTAGTTGGCGAAGCCATGGCCACCATGACACCTCCCCCCGTAACCAGCTCCGAAACCTCACCTGGGCCTGTGCGGCGGGTACTATCCTCTGACCGAGCACCTGTTGGTAGCACAGCACAGGGCGGGCCGGGGGCGGCTCTCAAATACCTCCCAGGCAGGGGGAGGGGAGGGGAGGGGGGATAGAGAGGGGGACGTCACCAAGGGGCCGTATGTACGGCATGCACCCCGTCAGGCCGCTCCTCAGTCCGGAGCAGCAGCTCCCAACACCCCAGGGTGTTTGGCCACCGGAGCACACCTTACCCGCCCCCACCTACCCGACCTACCGTACCCGGGCACAAGACCCAACCGAACTCGATGAGGGCCCCTAGCCACCCGGGCACCCCGCCCCGCCCCACCCCACCGCACCCCACCCTACCCCACCCCGCCCCGCCCCACCCCACCGCACCCCACCCTACCCCACCCCGCCCAGC